AGACTCAGAGAGACTCAGAGAGACTCAGAGAGACTCAGTCAGTGCAATAACGATTTTTATCTTATAGGAACATTATTTCAAAACATCCTAAAAAGGTCGTTTGAACATCAGATTAAAACGTTTCTTTAGAACCTGTAGGTAACGTTAGCCAAAGTTGTGAGAACGTTCCCCGCTAGCTGGGTAGGCATCTAGGCTTTTTTGGAAACTGCAAATCAGTCACTTACCTTGAGCAGAAACAAAGATACTACTTACTTTGATGGAAATGTATTTTCTGTGTCGACGGGGGAGTTGCCTGGCGAGCAAAGCCTGCACTGTTGCTGGACCATATGATATGCTTTCATTTACTGCAAAGGGGGTAGTGGTTAAAGCATGTAACATGCAGAATTCAACTGAATGCTTTTCAGTGGTCGTCTAAAAATGTCTTTTTCACCGTTCCATTGTTCTTTTTCCTCTCGTCACTTCAGGCTTCTTAACAGAAGTCCAAGATCAGATGGTTGATGTTCCTTTGACAATGTCCATTTTAAAACAGTATAAGTGTTAGTCTTGCAAAAGGTTGTGCAACTGTTGAATGCATGCTTTCCAAAGGAAATTATGAATTGAATGATGGATCTACAAAAGACAGAAACTGTCACTCAAGAATGCTAGTCATAACAGTTGTCAGTAAGCATTTGTATCCACAACAAATGGCCTGAACACAATATAAACGTTAAATCTTTCTTTAATCTTCTTTTGGATGACAAATAAGCAGTCCAAGCGACACAGTCTAGACATTAAGACACATGCAGGAATATACGTTTAGGAAACTCTTTATACAAGTTTTTTAAACTACCATTTACACTGAACACAGTTAAGATTTAGCTTACTCATCCAAGAAAGAAGCTACTAAATGCACAAAACTTCAGTAGCTTTAGTTGCAACTGTTGACGTAGCTACCTTTTAGAACGATTAAACAGCCTATCCCCCTGTGTAATATGCATGTTTTAAATTAGCACAAATTGAAAGTGAATGGCTAGCATAAAGTAGCAATGTATTTAAAATATATAATTAGGATATTACAAATCAGTCACCTACCGTTGAATTGTGAAAATCACTGAGATATTAGATCCTTTGGGTAAAATAAAAAGTCTTGAGAGCGGAACATCAAAAGCAATTCCAGAGGAGCTCTGCAGGCAGGCAAAATAACTGTTGAATAAGTGGTGAAAAAAGACACAGAGCATCGCCTCAGGATCATTATTTATCCGTTTGTTTTTGTATCTTTTATATTCTGGTATAAACTATTAAAAATCAATTGCACTGTAATTGCTTTATTTATGTTTGCACTTGAATAGAGAACAATACAAGCAAGAGCTTGGTCTCCGCTGGGTAATTTCACACATCGACCTAGCTGCTCATGATTTACCCATTTTACTGTGCATAAAAGTTCTTGTTGACAACCAATATTGGCATTATTCAATGTATATTTGGAATGTTTTCCGACAATATTTTTGCAACAGTTCACCTAATGATGATAAATCAAGCAGAACGAGCCTTCATCACAGCAACACACAAGCGAGCTCCATAACATCGTTAGTGGCCTCAGAGTGAAACCAAGTCAATGTTGTTAGCAGGCCCAGGGGCAAAAGTGACAGAGACAGACAATTGATTTATCTGTGCTCACATGGAAGGATGGTATAGGAACTATTGAATGTATGAGACAGTATGTATGGGTGAGTTTGAGTCTGTGTATATATCCAACATAGCTGAAGCCCTAATGAGCTGGGGAAAGTTCTCTTCCTGAGCCAGTTTATCGAACTCTAAAGCGATGATAAAAATATTAACTAAATTATTACATGTTACTTGTCAGATGCTTTTATCCAAAGCAACTTACATACTCACAGGAGCAATTTGGGGTTAAGTGTCTTGCAGGTTCACAACGACATGCTGACTGCAGTGGGGTTTGAACCTGTGACCCCCTGATCAGAACACCAACACACTAGGCCACTGCGCCACAACCTCCCTGCAAATCAACCCAATGGAGCAATACAAAAATAAATCAGTACAAAAGTGTCTCTCTTGCGTTGTAGTCGAGTACAGAGGAGCAGACGTGCTTGGATTGGAATAAAAAAAACTGCATACCATGCACATGTGGCTTTGGTCAAATCATGACCTAGACTTTTTAATTTGCACATTTTAAATACAAAGAAAATGGATGGTAATGTGAACACATTAATCAAAAACTGCAACTTCAATGTGGTAGACTTTGATCAGATTAAGTCTTACTTTTTCCACAGTTTTTTTACCTTGCAGATACAATATATAACTACACCATGAGTACCCCTGTGGGTCAGGGGTAAACACCAAGTACACATCTGAAACTTTCGGAACCATTTTGATTTAAAAAAAATTAAAAAGTCAGCTCGAGTGCATGTTTTTATTGAAAATAACTAACCATTGTGATGACTGAACAAATAGTTTTCACAATAATAATGTCATTTTTGAACCCATTCATAGATTTAGAATCATAAGAGTGCAAGTACATTTTTAAATATGCAAAGTATATTGTATGCAAACACAGCCCTCCCTATAGAACACAGGATAGAATTAAAAAAAATTATTCTGGCCTACAAAGCCCTTAATGGGCAGGCGCCATCTTACCTTAAAGAACTCATTATACCCTACTGTCCAACTAGGGCATTGCGTTCCAAGAATGCAGGGTTGTTGGTTGTTCCTAGAGTCTCTAAAAGTACAATGGGAGCCAGAGCCTTTTCTTATCAAGCTCCACTTTTGTGGAATCAGCTTCCAGTTTGTGTTCGGGCGGCAGACAGCCTATCCGTTTTTAAGAGTGCGCTTAAGACCTTCCTTTTTGATAAAGCTTATAGTTAGGGCTGATTAGATTCAGCCCCTAGTTTTGCTGATATAGGCTTAGTTTGTCGGGGGACATCTTACTTCTTCCTTCTCTCTGTCTATACCTGTGTACTCTCATGTTCCGATTAACCCAGCTTCCCCAAATTTCTTTCTTTTTGGTGTCTATATACGCCGGGATCCGGAGTCATGGATGATCCTGCGGTCCTGTGTCATGGATCACGAGTCCTGGATCTTGAGTCGTGGCTGTGGTCCTGGATCTTAAGTCCTGGATGGATATCCTCGTGGATTCATCTTCCTATTATACACACATGCATTTCCAAACATTTGGACTACCTATGTTGCAAATGTATTATCTTTTCAATTTACACACGGCATCTATTGCACGTCTGTCCGTCCTGGGAGAGGGATCCCTCCTCTGTTGCTCTCCCTGAGGTTTCTCCCATTTTTCCCTTTAAACTGTGGGTTTTCTCTGGAAGTTTTTCCTTGTACGATGTGAGGGTCTAAGGACAGAGGGTGTCGTATTGTCATACTGATATTCTGTACAAACTGTGAAGTCCACTGAGACAAATGTAACATTTGTGATATTGGGCTATATAAATAAACATTGATTGATTGATTGATATCCTTTTGCTACTACAGTGGCTAAACAGTGGCTACTTCCTTTACTCGCAATAAATAAGCACTAATTCGAGGGGTTATTGGAGGAAAAACTTCAACTAATTCCTTATTACTTGTAGGAATATGGTCATGTAGAATGAGGCATTAATAAGTGTTTTATAATGACTAATAAAGA